ATTCCATTATTGCGGATCGATGACATGTCATACTCGTCAATAAATTTTAATTTTCTTTTTCCTTACTAGACTCGATCATAGGATTGTAAGGGCAAATAAGGATCGATCTCATAGAGAATAGATTATGTAACACCCTAACCTAGAACCTAAATAGATTGAGAATATTATCGTCATTGACTCGCATTCGAATTGCAATGAACGCAAGTGAACAAGGCACTATGTCTTTCCTATGGCAATACTAGGCATGGGTTATGCTTGTGAAATTCTAAAAACTAATAGGTCCTAAATATTAGACCAAAACGCACTACTAAATTTTTTTTTATCTTAATATATTTTTTAAATAGTTTGGACATACTTGATTGGATCCGTGTCTATCGGTTTTGCCAAATTCTTTTTTTTTTTTTATAAGCTTGTATAAATTTATTAAATTCATTTAGTCGGTACTCGTTATTCGTTGATTTAATCATTTATTAATACCCTTTTCTTATTATATTCGTGGCCATTTAATTTTCTCATTTATCATCAATCTCGGCATGCAAATAATTAATTAAAAAAAAACTACTACTATTATGCATCACTATACTATTACATTATTATCAATATGTCCAAAATTTGGTTGACATGTAAGGTACCCATGCTACTGCGAAAGTGATTTATTTATTTACAAGTTATTTCCCATCATTAGCTAATCATTTACTTGTTTATAATTTTTACTATCATATAAACTATAGAAGTCATACCCAATACATATGCTAAAATACCAAACACTAGTAGCACAATAGTGTGGAGTATGTGTTGAAAAATTGAAAGCTCATTGGTGCATGCGATGCATGGTTTTAAAAATCAGCGGTTTTGTCCATTTTGACCTTTCCTTACCTTATTTTTCGTTTTATAATTGATTTTGATGTTTTGTTTTCATTGGGATTGTTACGTTATACCGATAATAACAATCGTTACAACTGTTATTTACCAGTATAATGATAATTATAAAGGCTACGTGCTTCTAATTCTTATGCTCAGGTCTACAACTAAACAATCATTTTGATTTAATTATTATATATAACTTTTTTTTTCGTTTTTAATATTTATATACAAAAAAAGTTAATAAAAAAAAAAGTTACATACTATCACTATTAGAGGATTTTTTTTTTATAGAGAAACGAGATAAGAGTAATGATAATTACTACTATCAAAATACTCCAAAGCCCTCATTTTAGAGATTTAGTATTTAATTATGTAAGACCTAATGAGATAAGCCATGTTTTTACTATTTATATTTCTAAATATAGAAAATATTAATATTATGTATTTATAATGAAATTCAACAAATGTGTAAAATTCAACAAAATCTATTATATGTAAAATTAACAAAACAAATTGCAATCATGATAACTGCAACAGTTACACAAAATCCGTAACTTATTTAACTGTAAGTGTTACATAATATCTGCAACATATTACCCATAACTGCGACTAGTACTATTTGAAATCATCATGCAATGCCACCAACGAACACGCTTTGTCTCTCTCCATCAGCGAACTTGGCATGAGATTAAAGACTTATGCATGAAAAGCAATGCCATGGATGGTTGGAATTGTAGAATAACCATGTATATCCGGTGAAAATACAAGAATTAGGATTTGGATTCCCTTAACGAGTGTTCTAATCCAAGAAACACACTTTCTTTTTCTTTTCTTTTTTTATTCATGGAAAGGTTTATCGATTTTAAACTATATAATGAGAATTAATTATTTTTTATTATATAATAATTAAATAAACTAGAGTTAGTACATCTAAAGAAATTACTAAATATATCGTTAAGTTATGTCCGTTTGTGTTATCTTTATTCTTTTCTAAATGTGGAGATTTCCAGCTAAAACTATATATAATTCATTGACACTTCTTCAATCCTTCCTTTTGATTTAATATATAGGTGAGCTTCTATTTTGATTTTTAACATATCACTACTAGATTAAATGTTCAAGTCTCCAAATAAATTATTTTTGTGAAAACCAAAACATGAATTTTCTCATTTCAATAACATATGTAGCTGCTGAAGTATCGAAGAACATAAATCTACCCATCAATTAAAAAGAAATCTACTCCATCAAAAAGAAAAAGGAAGAAGAAAAAAAACTGTACATAATCCCTTTTTCTTACTTTGTGATTTGGAATATATCTCATTAACTCTTCACCAAATTGTGTGCATAACATATAAATATATTCTACGTGTGTGTATATTCTACGTGTGTGTGTATATATATATATTGCAAAAACTTGTTAGTTCCGGCTATCCAAAAAACCAAATACGAGGCTGTCCGTGTGATTGAAGTACAACTATAAACCCAAACAATTTAAGATTTTACTAGTAAAATATTCATTCAAGTAAAACAATTTGCTGTAGTTATAGTAAAGAAGAAAACGATAAGTTCCATGGAGATTCGTACAAATTTTGACTTAGCGGAAGCCGAAAGTCTTGCATTATATATATAATTGCCTTCAGGTTCTTCGGAAGCCTTGGTTTGGAAATGAGAAGACTGCCTGCCTCCTCGTGACAGTCGCGTGCATAAGAGTAATATATTGGCCAACTGTTCTTAGGACTCGTGCATGCCATACTCGTAGCACAAGCACTTTATAAGTTCAACCCTTAAGCACAAGCTCTCCCAAAGCAGAAGAAAAATAATGGCAAAAGTTACATCACTGTTATTTTAATATATATGGATGAGGCTGAGCCTTTTCCCTCTCTCTCTCTTTTTTTGTTTTTTTTTGCTTGATATTATTATATTGGGTTTTCAATATTTCACATAATGAAGAGAGGAAACGGAGATGTCATTCATGAGCTCACCAATTCTCACATATTTGTTCCATTTGGGTTTTGCGAGATCATCAAACTTACTTGTGTTAATTTCATTGGTTTATATTTGTTAATATTAATTGTTGCCTATATATATATATATATATATATATATAGTGCTTTCACCAAATTTTGATAAAAAAAAATGTACACCAGATGTTGCTCTGACGCTCCAAATAAACATTGCTCCGTCAGAGAAACCTTCCAGTGGCATAAATATAAATAGGGTTGCAACTATATATCCCAAATTTTGTTTTAGAAATTGGGATTGGTATATATCTTGCAGTGGCACAATATCAAATTAACTATTACACAGTTTAACTAAGGTAGTTTTTTTTATTTTTTTTCCCAATAATATTTAGGGTATATTTGTGCACACCAATTTCAATGTAGATGATCTACTTAAACTTTGCTAGAGGAACTCTGCCGTTAATCCTTTTCAGCTCTTATAATTATGTAATACACAACCTACATGAGTTTCTAGGTAAAAAGATAGAAAACAAAGTATAAGTCATAAATTGGTGAATTTTTATTTTCATAAATCATTTTTGTGAGAAAACTTATTTCATATTGAATAAATAAAAATTAAATGAGTAATATATAAAGTTAAAATGGACGATTCATTGTAAAGGTTAAAGTCTCAAGTCTTTTATATGAAACATAATCTAAATTATTTACTTATATAGTATAATATTTTAATATCATTTCTCTTTAATTGCATCTTTTTTCCATCTTTTTTTTAGAGAAACCTATTGTATATAATAATATAATTTTATATACATATTTCTATATTGTATAAGGTGACGCTAAACATTAAAAAAAGAAAAAAAAAGCTTTATTTATATGAGTCATTAGATAAGTAGAATTCATTAATAAGTCTCCTTTTAAGATCACAATATAATGCTTCACAATCTTCTCACATTTTTTTCAAGTTATTTATCATTAATTTCTTATAATTGTACTACAATGGTACCAAGACATCAAGAATATTATTGTGTAAGAAAAGCTAACAAGATAGAATGTCATTTTTTTCTGATTAAATGGGTTAAACCTCTTTTAAACTTTAATTTGTTTGAAATTGAGTATCTAAATTTCAAATTTGGTTTTTTGAAAATTTTGAATTTTTAATATTTTGATATTTAGTCCATCAAATGATTTTCAATTATAATTCTTCTTTCTAAAAAAATCAATTACTCGATATTTTGAGTTGAAGTTTTGCATAAATATTGACAAAAAGCCAATATTTTTTTTTAATATACTTATTTATTTATTAAATATTAAAAATTGAGAAAAAATAGAAAATAATCCAAAATGATTCTTTTTTTTTTTTTTGAAAAACTCCCTATAAATTTCACTAAATGATTTTTATCATAAAACTATTTATGTTATTGTTATTTTTATTATTTTTTAGAATAAATAATAAAAAAGCTGAAGAATAGACTATATCAAAAAAAAACGTCGGAGATTTTAAAAACCAAACTTGAAAATTATGAACTCAATTGCAAATGAGTTAAAATTCAAGAGAATTTTGATCCTTTAGCCTTGAATTTTCCCTTGGGTTTACCTCATAATTGATTCTTGTACAATTTTAATATTTTTTTTTATTGAGATCCTCTATCATTTTTCAGTTTGATTCAAACTTTTTACTTTTACAATTTTATTGATTGAGACCCTCCATTATAACGTTGTTAGTTATTCATCATATGTAACAAGTTAAAACTAATGATAGTCAATTAGACAATGACAAGTAGTAAATTTTTTTATCTATATTTCTATGTGTCAGTTCTTGGTGAACATATAGGATGAATAGTTAATAGTATTATGACGGAGAATCTCAATCAATAAATTTATAAAAATATAAGATTTTAATCAAATAAAAAAATAATAGAGGATCTTAATTAAAAAAAAATTAAAACTTTACATTATACATGGACCAATTATGAGATAAACCCATTTTCTTCTTATATATTATATAATAATACTGAAATTTCGGGTATCAATTTTTAATGATTTTGCCTTCATTTAATATCAAATGGCAAGGTGCGTGATGATGCGAGCTTGATCATATAAATCTGTCATCATCATTATAAATGTGACTTTCTTAGCAAACTAGTTAATTTTCATTAGCCTTGAAACCAATCCCCAATGTTAGAATTATCTCCTGATACTTTGTTTTCCACATTTGGATGGCCTTTAGAGAAACCCATAAGCCATGAACATAACTACAGCTTTAGAGATCGTAAAACTCCACAGTCACTAATTACTCACTTCCCTCAATCTCAGCCAGAAATAACAGAGCCCGATCGTTCCACATCATTCACGGCCTATAGTGGAAGTGGTGACCGTAACATGGTTAAGAAGCTTAATCACAACGCCAGTGAACGTGACCGTCGCAAGAAGATCAACAATTTGTATTCTTCACTCCGTTCACTTCTCCCAGCGGCAGATCAAATGGTACGTTTCTTATCGAAACCTAAGAGGCAATTCGTTATAATCAAGAGAAGCTTTTAAACATAGGTCTTAATTATGATGGTAGTGATGATCTCCTTGCAGAAGAAATTAAGCATACCAGCCACCGTTTCACGTGTGCTTAAGTACATACCAGAACTTCGACAGCAAGTGAAGAGACTGATTCAAAGACAGGAAGAGCTTTTATCAAACTTATCTAAGCAAGATGATTTAATTCATCAAGAAAATCAAAGAAAAGGCAACATGAATACCCCTTTATCATCTGTATCGGCAAGCCGGCTTAGTGATAGAGAAGTGGCCATTCATATTTCCACTTACAAAGACCATAAAAGTCCATTATCAGAAATCTTGCTCAATCTAGAGGAGGATGGACTTGTTCTTATGAATTCTTCTACCTTTGAGTCATTTGGAGACAGGGTCTTCTATAATTTACATCTTCAGGTATGACTATTAAATTTGCCTGTATTTTTGTTTATGTCCTTTAATTTGGTTTCTTTCTTTTGTAAAGTTTAGTATTTAAATTGTAATTTTGTGGATTAATCGACAGGTCATGGAAGGAACTTACGCATTGGAGTGTGAGGCCTTGAGTGCGAAGCTTGTGTCCTTATATGCAAAGAGGGAATCCTTGTTTCAATAAATTCAAGTGCTCCATCTGCATCAACTATATGTAAAATTTAGTCTCGCTTTTAAATTATGCAAAAATGACCGTCTATAGTAGGAACTTAATCTCCTCGAGCCCAAAAATATTCTTAAAGAGGAATGCCTCTTTTTAGTTTTTTTTTTTTTTCTTTCCAGGACGACCTAATAAAAAATAAATAAATAACGCAATGCATTTGGGCCTAAAATTAGGTGTATTTTATGTGATACTGTACCAGACGCAACAAAATCGATGCAACAAAATCTAGGCCTAAAGAGGCTTGATCTGATCGTCTAAAGTTCGGTTTCTATCACTAAAGAAGAAGAAGAAGAAGAAGAAGAAAAATAGCAACAGAAATTTTCCTCGTTAGACTAACAAATTCTATCAGCTATATTGGTGTTGCTATCCGGCATCATACTCTTGAAAAAAATTAGATTTTCAGATATTTGCAACTCATTTATGAATTATTCTAAAAATACAATTTATTATTAAATTTGAAGTTGCCACCTAGTATTAAATGAACTAAAAACCTAAAAATAATCACTAGTACGAGAGATTCTCGAATAATGAATTGGTTATGATTTGAAAAGATATCGATCATTCAAAAATGTTCTTTTTAAAGAAAGATACTATGTCTAATTTAATCATAAATTCATCTCCTAGTTTATTTTGTACCCGATTATTTACGAATTGAATGTCAATTTTTAAGTTAAATTAAGTTTTCTCTTCTTAGACATGACATCATATTGAAATGATTGTTGATCCCCTTCGTCGAGGGACACGTTGGTTCAAACATCGGATCCACTTCAAGCCTTGACACAACCGGTGTGTCGGAGAACATCTTGATTGTAAAATTTTGATATAATTTTTAAATTAACAATAGTCTCTATCGGATATGAGACTTTGTTAAAAAATTTATTATTAATTTTTTATTTTTCTTATTTTTTGTTAACGATAGTCCCTATCGGATAGCAATACAAAAATATTTTTAATTAGGGATAGCTTTAAACCGTGGCTAAAAAACAATTAATAGCGACGGTTTTCCAAAAAACGTCGCTAACTACCTATTATAGATGGGTTTCAGCCACAAACTATCGCTAATTTGATCAATTTTGACTAATAATAATGACGACTCATGTAAAACCATTGCTAATTTAATTAAATCGTCGCTAATTTAAAAAATTCAATCAATTATAGTGATGGTTTAACAAAACCGTCGTTATTTTTCCTTAAATATGAGTGAATTTAGCGATGGTTTTAAAAAACAATCGCTAAAGTTGTTTTTACTTTTGCATTTGATTTTGGAAGCAATTAGCAATGGTTTTTTGATAAAAACCATCACTAATATCGATAAATTAGTGAATGTTTTAAAAAATTATCGCTAATTTATGACCGTTGGAGGAAAACGGTTATTTTTTGAAAATTTCATTTAATTAGCTATGGTTTTAGCTACGGGACCAATCTCATCGCTAAAAGTTTGAATCCCTAAAACCACATTGCCTCAAAAGTTTTCCCTAAGTTTTTTTTCCTCTCTTTTTTTCTTCTTCTTCTTCTAGTCGGGATTTCTCTTCTCCGTTGTAGCTTCATATCTCCTCTAAATCTCCTTGTAAATCTTCTCATTTCTCCTATTTTCTTCTTCCCCTCCATCTCTCCCTCTTTCCTCCTTCAATTTCTTCTTCTTTCTCTCCTTTGCTCCTCCTTCTTTCACCCCTCTTCACGTTGAACGAGTGCCACGGTAGCACCACCCCTTCTCTAGCGCGGCAGCCTCCTCCTTCCCTAATCCTCAAATTTTGTTATTGGCAACCCATTAAGTAATTTTATTTTATTTTTTTATTATTTAATTTTGTGTTAATTGTTGTTGTTTTTTATTATTTATTGGTTAATTGTTAGTGTAATTGTTGTTGTTAATTGTTAATTGTATTATTGTTGTTAATTATTTATTATTTAATTGTTAGTATTTAAAAAATTTAATTGTTAATTGTTGTTATTTTATTATTTATTGGTTAATTATTTTTTAGTTTAATTTAATTTATTATTAAAAGTAATTTTTATTTATTAGTTAAGTTAATTTTTTGTTAAAATAATTGTTTAAATGTTAGTTTAATTAATTATGTGTAAAAAAATTTTCATTTAGTTGGTTATTAAATTAAGTGTAATTGTTTGTATTTAAATAATTTAATTGGTCTTAAAATATTTAATAGGCGTTGTTAGTTTAATTTATTTATTTATTAATTGATAAATAAGTGATTTTTAATAAAATTATTTAAATTTGGGGTAAAATAAATTATTTAATTAAATTTGTGCTAGTTTAATTACATATATATATATATATATATATATATATATATATATATATATATATATATATATATAGGTGTTAATTAAAATTTAATTAAGTAAATTTATTAGTTGTTAATTAGAAAATATAAAATATTGTTTAAAATAATATATCGGGTAGTGAATTGAGAAAATTAGTTTACAATTATATTATTTAAATATTATATAAAATATATAATTAGTTTTAGTTTAATTTATTTGTTTGTTAATTAAGTTTTTTCAGTTTTTAATTGAGTCAATTACTTTATTATTAAATTTATTAAATTGTGTTTAAAATAATCAATAATGTAGTTAAATACGAAAAATACGAGTTTATAATTAATTTAATAAAATTAAATTTAAAACATAAAATTACATGTTGGTTTCATTAATTTGGTTGTTAATTTAGTTTTTTAATTGTTAAATTTAAAATATAACATTACGTGTTAGTTTCATTAATTTGGTCGTTAATTTAGTTTTTTAATTGTTAAATAAAGTCTAATAGTTGGTAGTTAATTTAGTAAATTACTATTTCAAATAATTAATTAGGTACATATTTAAGTCAATTAGTTTATAATTAAATTATTATAATTTTTTTAAAATATAAAATTAGATGTTAGTATAATTAATTTGGTTGTTAGTTTAATTTTTAAATTATTAAATTTAGTCAATTAATTAGTAATTAAAATATTAAATTATTCATAAAAAGAATTAATTAGGTAGTTAAATCAAAATATTAATTCATTTATTAAATAAGTTTTCTATTTCTTAGTTGAAGTAGATTAGTAATTTAATTATTAAAATAATTACATTTAGTTTAAAATGAATTTAGATCATTCATAAATTGACTATAGACTAAATAATGAATTTTTAAATCGGTGTTTCATAGATGGAATTAATAAATTTTTTAATTTTACAATTAGTCGCAAGGATTCGTATAAACGAAAATAAAATAAGATGCCCTTGTAAACTTATAAAATGTCAAAATCGTAGTTATGAAAAGCTTGATGCGGTTAAGTACCATTTGATAAGATATGGTTTTGTGTCCGGGTATTATGTGTGGAGACATCGTGAAGAAAATGAGTTGGTTTATTAAGGTGACAATCTAGTTAATTTTGTTTAACTCGAACAAATATTTTATGAATCTCGAGCTAATTGATATCACACAATGGTGATGGATACATCTAGTCCATCATTTAATCCGTCTAACATAGATGAAGACTCAAACCCTAATACCCAAGCCTTTTATAATTTATTGAATGCATCTAATAGAGAGATCTAGCCCGGTTCGGAAAACCACTTACGGTTATTCGAAATAGCTCGTTTGTTATACTTCAAGTCCGAACATCATTTTTTGAAGAGGTGTTACGATGACTCATGTCAACTTATAAAAGAGTTAATGCATGTCGATAATCGCATGCCTAAAGACTTTTACAAAATAAAAAAGTTGGTGGAAATGATAGGTTTATCAATTCAATAGATCCACAATTATATAAACGGTTGTATGATTTATTAGGATGAAGAAAGCTAGTGAATCATTTGTAAAATCTATGATAATCCTCGATATCAAAGTCCTAAACGGGGATCAATTAGAGAAACATATGTCCCATATAAAAAATATATATTATTTTCTCGTTAACCCCATGGTTACAAAGGATGTATACATCGATTGTCACTATTGGTGACATGATGTGGCATGCTGAACATGTAGTTAAGGCAAACATCATGCGTCATTATAGTAACTCCTTTGCATGGCGGCATTTCAATCAAACAAATCCTTATTTTCCATCAAAAATTAGGAATCTAGAAAGATACCATAAGAAGTTTGTAAAAGGATTTTCTAAAATAGCTTCTCCATCGACTAAATGGACAAAGAAGAATGATAAGTTTGAATTAGATGATGACTATTAAAGAAATTTTCAAGAGCTAAAGTTTAGGTTAACCATAGCACCTATTTTAGTTTTACCTAAGGATAATGAAGACTTCGTAATCTATATCGATGTATCGAGGATTGGACTTGATGCGGTTTTGATACAAAATGGTAGAGTTATTGCCTACGCATATGAAAAGAACTATCATGCTCATGATCTAGAGTTAGCTATCGTGATTTTTGCCTTGAAGATCTAGAGGCATTATTTATATGGAGTCAAGTGTGACATCTATACCGACTAGAAGAACCTCTAATATATCTTTACCCAAAAAGAGTTAAACATGAGATAAAGAAGATGGCTTGAAGTGTTAAATGATCATGAAATTACCTTTCATTACCATCAAGTAATGCAAATATCATGGTAGACGCTTTAAGTCAAAGAGCATTAGTAGCTATACAAGTACAAATTTTAAAGGTTATGGAAAGATTACAATTAGAGGTTATATCGGGAGGAAATAGTAAAATAATGTTGGGTATAATGATGTTGCAACCTAATACAAGGCAAAGGATTAACAATAGTTAGCTACTGGATTTAGACCTAGTGAAAGTTCGGAAAGATGTAGTCGAAGGAAAAGTTACGGAATATGCCACAAATAGCGAAGACATTTGGCGTTATCGAGGAAGGATATATGTTCTTGCAAATAAGAAGCTTCAATAGGATATTTTGAGGGAAGCTTAGGCTATACCCTATTTCATTCATCCAGGAGGTACTAAAATGTATCAAGACTTAAAAAGGAATTATTGATGAAAAATG